TCATCAGGTTTGCTATTGTGTCTGCGCTCCCCTCAGAGACAGACCTAATTTGCCACTGTGTCATGTACGACAATGTGCTATTACCTCAGCCCACTGCCAACCAAGGGTTCCCAGTTTTATAGACTCTTCATTAATATGTTCATTTCTTATGACTGTAAAAGTCCCAGCATTATGAAATATTATTACATATTTCAAACACTTACAAATAAGAATCATAAGAGCTACGAGATAAGAGTATCAATGGGACCTGACAACTTAATTCACGATATCAGGAAAATCCTTTTCACTTTCTTCACATTAGATCATGTTGCTGAATCAGAGAAAAATGGTAAAGCTTACAGCATTTGAAACACTGAGAAGGGAGAAAATCCAAGACTAATCTGGGCTACAAAAAGAGTTCCATCCCCAATAACCTTAACATGTATGAAATGTCTCAAAGACACCCATCAATTTTACTGTATATATTTTTCCCTTTCTTTGTTTCTTTCTTCCTTTTTTGAAGTTGTAGTCCTTTAATTAGATATGTTTGTGTTTGAAGTTCTATTCTATTCAATGTATTAGTTCAACATCTTGGTTGTAACTTTTTACGTTCTTTAATTGAACATAAGTATATCTTAAGGTGTTCCTTGATTTATTTTCCACAAGTACCTAGAGCTACTAATTTTTTAAAAAGTCTTATTTTTTATTTTTATTTTTATGGAGCTATATATTTTTCTCTGCTCCCCTCCTTTTCTCTCCCCCTTTTATCCCTCCCTAGGTCCCCATGCTTCCAATTTACAAAGGGGATCTTGTAGTTTTCTACTTCCCATGTTGATTAGATCCATGTGTGTCTCTCTTAGAGTTCTCTTTGTTGTCTAGGTTCTCTGGGATTGTGAATAGTAGCCTTGTTTTCTTTGCTTTATGTCTAAAAACCACTTATGAGTGAGTACATATGATATTTATCTTTCTGGGCCGGGATACCTCACTCAATATGTTGCTTTCTAGATCAATTCATTTGCCCGCAGATTTCAAGATGGCTCATCCATTAAAGGCTAGGTTCACTACCAAAACTTAAATGTGTAATTCCTAAGTACATGTAATTATTAATTATATCATCAAGTAATAATCATAATGAAAGGTGATTTTGTGTCATCTGTCCTCATTGTCCTGTTGATACTGCTATAATTGTATATGGATGCCACAAAAGTGTATTCCAATTTAAATGAATTTGTGTTATTGATAAGCAATTGATGATGTACTTGTTGTATCACTTGTAAATAAATCAAGATAGGTGCCTAGTTCTGAAGTTTGTAATTAGAGCACATGTTGTGATAAACATGAATTCAGTATATTTTTGTTAAATATACACATGTTATTAATGCTGGGGAAATAAGATTATAATAAAATGTATGCAGAACTCCTTTACTTTTATTTGTTAACTTTATAATATATGCTCGTGTTTATACTTAGAACAGCAGGTGCAAACAATATGAGCATAGTAATAGAGAGTGAGGAGTAAAAGTGTCAACATTTACTCAGAAAGACAAGAAACTGCTGAACTATGGAAAAGCATTGATTCTGTACCAGTTTCTTTTTATTGTTTTCTGACCACATATATTTGTGTGTGTGTGTATTTGTGTACATGCAGGTACCATGTCATATGTGTGTAGTTTTTTTTTTAATCTTTGCTCTTTTGACTCTTTGTTCTTTGCTCTTTGGAGCGGTAGGCAACACCCAGCTTCCAAGTAAATCATGCGAAGACTCGTATTCTTAGTTATGATTGCCCAGCCTTTGTTTGACTTGTTTCTAGCCAGTTTTTATTAAATTGTGCTCTATATCTTTTGCCTTTAAGCTTTTAACTTTTTCTATTTCTCTATTGTTGGGGTTTGACTTACTCAAGAGGGTGCACTCACAAACTGAGAATATAAATTTGATCTTAATAAGAAAGAACTTGTTCCTTAACATTAATGTCTTTAAAAAATTACTAAATCAATCCAGAACTTAAGTGTTATTGAAGGGAATACTTGTTCTTCCCTATCCCCTTCTCTCTATGTGAGCAAGTGGATCCCTAGTCCTTTTAAATACCAATAATTTCATATTTCCTTGGTGCTTAGTATCTACTAAAATAATTTGAAAATTAACTCACAGTTTCTCGTTGCTCATTTCCTTTATATTTTTAAAATAATAATATAATTATGTAATTCTCCCACCATTTATTTCTACTCTCCCAATCCTCCCACCTTTTCATGCTTTCTTTCAAATTTGTGGCCTCTCTCTTTTATAAATTATTGTTACGTATATTTGTATGCATGTATATGCACATGTATATGCATTCCTAACTTGTTCAGTCTGTATAATATTGCATCAATTGTATATGTTTTCAGGGCTGGTCATTTGATATTGATTAAACAATTGTTGTGCTGCTCCATGGGGAAGACTATTCTTCTACCCTCAGCATTATTTAGTTGCCTATAGTTGTATGTGTAGAAAACAGCTTGCGGTCTGTCTGTTGTCCCGTGTGGCATGTCTATTTTTGTCATTGTTCTGCTCCTGTTTTGACAGTCATGTTGGTAAGACTTCTTGTGTAGAGCTCCTAACACTGTTAGGAGACTGATTCCTAGAGCAAACTTTCTGAGAAACTCAAATTTCGATTAGTACTTGCTGAATCAACTTTTAGAAAAATCAGTTTCTATACGTACCCTATTCTACACTCATAAAGACTAGTCTTGCATGCTAAGTTTTCTCACATGTAATAGAAAAAGCAATTCCAAATGCTAATTTTTATCTTGGTGGCTGTTTACAAACAAATTTGGAAAATTTAAATTGGTAGCTATCTTTTAATCTATTTCATCGCTTGACTTGTTAACATTTTGATGAGTGTAGATGTTTCTGATGAAAAGGGAAGTTACAACAGTATGGAAGAATATTCATCAATTCACAATACCCATAAAAACATTCCCAGGACGTAGAAGTGTTGAGGACATCAGGATAGGATTCCAGTTGTCCTGTTCTTTGGATTGAAGTGTGTGGCAAGTGAAAAGGAAAACAACAACAACAACAACAACAAATCATCAGGAAGATATTTACTGCATGCAGTTTCAGAAATGTCAGGGGAATCTTGGGGAAACTTACAAAAACTTTGTCACTGTACCAATTAGCAGTAAATATACTTAAGGAGAGTAGAAGAGGGGATTTAAAATAAATAGGCAAGTTTTCTAAGAAAACATTTTTTTTCTCAAGTATTATCACATTTTTTTTTTCCTTCCCACTCATCTTGAAAGGCATGATTTCTGGTTCTTCTACATTCTTGTGACTAGTGCAGCAATCATACTAGTGTGCAGTATCTTTATAGCTGTGCTGTATGACAGCTCCCAGTAAAAGCCCAAGAATGAGTGGTGGGTTGGATCTTGTTTGGGTGCATTTTGCAGATCCTGCACTGATTTCCAAGGGGGAGAGAGTGGTTTCTATTCCCACCAGAAGTATATTCAATTTGTTTCTCACAAGATTCTCACCTGTTCATTGACGTTTCTTGACTTGATAAAAATCATTCTGACTGTGAAGAGATGAACATTCTGAGCAGTTTCCATTTGCATTTCAATGATGAGTAAAGATGCTGAGCATGGGTGATTAAGTGTTTGTTTGTCATTATGTTTTGACATTTGAGTACTGTTAGTTTAACTAGTGATTTTTTGACATTTAATGTTTTGGATGTTTATATATTAATATTAAGTTTGATATACAGTTGAAAAAAATTTTCCTGTTTTATTGGCTCTCTCTTCTCACTGGTGTTGTTTTCATTACTGCGTAGGAGCTTATATATCTTTAGATATGATATTCATGTCTGCCAACAGATGTAAACATGAAAATATTGTATATAATACATATACTTTAAATTTTTACCTATAGAGGAATAAATTTATGCCATTTCTTAGGAAAATGGATGTAGCCAGAGATTGTAAAGAGACATAAAACAGATCTAAATGAGAAATGCTATATGCTGACCTAGATGTGTGTGTGTGTGTGTGTGTGTGTGTGTGTGTGTGCTTGTCTGTCTGTTAAGTAGGTAGAAATGGGAGTATAAAAGGTGAAAAACATATGTGAAGGGTGGCAACATGAATATTAAATTAGAAAACATTTGAGTACATGTGACAGGAAATCAGAGGGGGACTGTATTTGACAGAAAAAAGATTAATAAAAGTAGGGCAAGGGAGATAGGGAGGATAGAATGGCAAGGGGATGGATAAAGTAGAGTATAATCATTATTGTGAAAATTCCATATAAAAGCCTACTATTTTGTAAAAAAATGCAAAAGCATTAAAAATAGGATATTTGTGTAATCATTAAAAAGCAAGCAAATTTATGCTTAATGTTTATACACGTCTGAAAATGTGTGAATTCCTTAAGGTGTATTAGTTAACTAGAAAAGCCGCTCACTTAGGGGAATGTGTTAGGCAGCTTATAGCTTATTGAAGGGTATAAATTTGGGTGAAGAAAGTGCTATGCATTTTCTAACTGTAAAATTTATGTTGCAAACTTTCTTGTTTCCCTCATGTGTAACATAAAATAAAGTGAAACATAGTTGTACTCATTTGACTCTTAAGAACTTGGGTGTGTTGATTTGGATTTTTAATAGATTCTTATTTTCCAATTGTCATACTAGACTTGGCCAATGAAAAATATTTGTATGAATTAAGAGGTAAAATAATTAAAAGCAAACCTTCATTTTTTTTTCCTGTAGAGACAGTCCCATATAGACAAAACAGAATCTAGAAAAGCTCAGTGCATCATTTCAAATACCCAGGGACCTATCTCTGTGGCTGTTCCATACAAAGACAAATAGTGAGATTGTCATGTAGATGCTTCAAGCACTGCAGCAGGTCCTAAGCCAGGAATGCAGAACTTCTGACTGAGATATCTTATAGCATTCTGGAAATTTACATAGATACCATATTCTTTATGTCCAGTCTTTGCATTAAGCACAGTAATCACTGAAAAAATGCATAAGTATGCACCCAGTGTCATAGTTCTTAAATGGAGTTATTTATTTTCCAGTTTATTATAATAGATTTCAGGAAAACATTTGACATCATGTGCACATATGTAAACAATGAATTTGCATGAATGGAGTAAGAAACTGACACCTGGGTTCAATACCAAGGAAGAAGAAATAGCACAATGAAAAATTGAGCTAATCTATCTTAGTTTCCTTTGACGATTTTTTAAAAATACAATGCTGTAAAACACTATTAAATATAGCAGAGAAAATGAATGGCATAATTTTCACTCAGAAACATCTAGATTTCAGCCAGGGTTTAGAGCATCCCACATCAGTTGCATGGAACAACTTCACTGAGTACTTGTAACATTCGGTGCCATTTGTTTCCATAAAAATCAGTACACAAATGTAAAGCCAGATTCTTCTTAGATCTCTCCAGCAAACAAGGAAGGAAAAAAAACCTACAAAAAATATGAAGAGGATATGAAGGGATTTAGACTAAATAAGACAGTTAAAAATATCTTACACCACCTAATGCCCATATTGACTATTAAGCAACAGTAATCAAAATAATATAGTATTGTTGTGAAATCTAAAAGGTAGACACAAGTGACTATAAAGAAAAATAATAATGCACAACCAAAGGACTTAAGTGTTGAAAACACATTAAAGATCAACAAAACACTTGAAGGAAAATGAAATCATAATTATTATCATTAGTTAATAAGGGATTGCAAAGTTAAATCATTATGAAATACAGCTTTTATCTAATGGTACAGCTTCATTTGGAAACCACTTAAACCAAATTTCTATAAAACTATGAAGCTATATTGTTTTGTTCTCTGTAGATTAGGCACAATGCAATTACACTATTAAAATGTGTTTTTAGATAAATACAGTTCACCAGCCAAGGAGTTTGTAATTATAATGAGGATTAAAGTTATTGATATAATGAGAATTTTCTTTGTCCCCCAAATGATCTATGCCAGTCTGTGGGGCTGAAATACAAAGGAAATCTACTAACATGTCACACGCTCTGAAAAATTAAAAGTAAGACTGATTACTACAGGCATATTGGCCATCACACCCACAGAGACATAACGGGTGACAACAGTGTCATATGTTATGGAGAACACCGAGAATCTCTTGTATGAACATGACATTGCTATCCCCTCTACAGGTAAGACTAAATTCTTACACAAATTTTATTGTGTGGTTTTTGTTTACAGGGAACAGGAGGTGTTTCCCAGGGCCATTTCCGGGTCTTAGACACACATTTATTTTGTTCATAAACTTTTCTGCTAACATAAGAATGTGTCTATACATTGTTTTGCGGTTCTGTGTAGCTAAAAAGCATATCACTACTTCAAATTGTGGAGTACATTATATTGATTGTTGAATATAAATGTTCTTAATCTGAAAAATAATTTCAATCTTGATTCTGGGCTCTATTAAAGACTTCTGAGCTGTAAACAATTAATTCACCTGAATTGTCACCGGGAACCTTCTATCATTAGGGGCACTAAGCACTTAAGTCCAAATGTTATATATGACATCAGGCTTGACCACATAGACCCACAAGTTAGTGGCATCAGCAAATGCCTCAGATATTAAAGGGACATATCAAGGTGATACTTGTCTTTCTTGTCAAAATTATAGACATACAGCAAATTCTGTTTTGTCTTGTAAATCAATAAAGGAATATACATTATAACTGTGATCTCAAGCTGTGTATTTGCAGTAAATGTATAGCGCAGAAAGATCAATGTATCAGGAGATGACTACCAAATGAGCAGGCAGTTTGTCATAGTTACAATTCCCAAGAGGAAGCATTTCATACCATAGTCTCCACACGGAAGTGAAAAGGTTGATCAACTTGCAAATGGAGGAAAAAGAGAAATTGTAAGAAATAACTATGAATGATACGGTGAAAGGAGAGAAGCGGGTTTTAAGATTAAGGAATTTCTGCACCATTAAGGGCAATGGGGCTGTTCTTAGTTATTTAACATCTGGTCCTGTGCTGACTGGGGCAGGAATACCGTACTAAAGACTTTGAGAGCACAATGCAGAAATATGGAATATGCACGCTGACTGGTTTGAGATATATTAACCTTTTCTCTTTGGGGAGTCCTCCTCCCAAGAACATTGTGTGTTGAACCAAAAAAAAAAAAAAAGAGACAGTAACACAACACAATAGGTTTATGAACGACTTACCCAGCAGATGGTCTATGGCATGTTTAAAGAGTTACTACTGTATAGCTCTTTCCTTTATACTGAAACATTGTCTCATAGTGGAGGAAGTAGAATCAGGAAACTTATACAAAAGTCATAACACTCATGGGGTCCTCCAAAAGGTTATTTATCTTCAATTGCTATATAGAGAAAGGAGACTCTTTTTGGTGTAGCTTTTAAAAGACTTTGTAATTTAAATTTAATGAATAATCACCCACCTTATTAGGGGTGACCCTGCAATTGTATCATAAAGTTTCTAGATATACCTGTGCTTCTGGAAGTAACCACAATATGCTATTGGTTCACTAACCTGGACTTAGATGAAACCTCGGACTTGGGCTGTTAGTACCCATGGGAAGTGAAAAGGTATTTCTATGCACGTCCAATGCGCAATGGCACAGCAGAGTCCAATATAAGACAATGAAGCATGATGCATATATCTTCATATGCCAAAACTGTATATGAATCTGGGTCTTCTCTTGGTAGGCAATCCAAACAAGGCTCTAAAAAGTCTTGTAGAGGGGAATCCCATAGTACTTCTTTTCGAGAGTTGCTCCTGGTTGTTACTTAAGTAGAAAAAAGATATTAGCTGTTATAGTATTAAAAGAAACCATGCAGGGGTTGGAGAGATGGCTCAGTGGTTAAGAGCATTGCCTGCTCTTCCAAAGGTCCTGAGTTCAATTCCTGGCAGCAACATAGTGCTCACAATCATCTGTAATGAGGTCTGGTGCCCTCTTCTGGCCTACAGGCATACAAACAGACAGAATATTGTATACATAATAAATAAATATATATTTTTTAAAAAAAGAAACTATGTAAGCTGCCAAGAGAGAAAAACAATCAATGGTCTTATCAAGTTGCAATGCTTATGAATGACAAGGACTCTTAAATGTGCAATAGTGACTCAGCTTGATATGACCATTGAAAAGCAATCAATAGTCTTATCCAATTGTGATGCCTATGAAATGTAGCAATGTCCTCTTAAAAGTACAAAGGTAGCTCTTAAATGCTGGTTGCATCCAACAACCACATGATTGCATTTAAGGTTCACACTGTAGGAGTAACTCATTCTTGTCCCTTTATTCATGGTTGATGAGATGATAGAAGTTAAAGGAGTACTCACTACTGCCATTTTCTTAAACCAATATAATAGCTACATCCAAAATTTATTTCCTTAAAACCACATATCTGAAATATTTTCTTAAAGCTATCCATCTTAAATTTATCTCTGTACATTTAGAGAACATAACTAACATGACTACAAGTCTGACAATTACAAGTGACTATTAATTTTCAACTTTTAATTACACATTATAATTTTTAAATAAGCTATGTAAGCATAATCCTGTAAACAAGAGTATACATATACACAGTGTAACAAAATCGGCCTTAAATCTGTATCAATAGATCAAGATTCATACCAATTCAAAGTTTTCAACTCTTTATCAACCCATAAACATAGAAATTTGTAACACAATAAAATGTTTAAATTTTATTAAAAATAAACATTAAATAAAATTATATAAGAGATCCATGAATTTACCAGTCTGTTGGTTATTTCTTCTTTTTAAAAAAATAAAATTCAGAGATTTGGCAAAGGTAATTATATAAACCTGGTTAGTCATCGTCATCAACTTAGACCATGAAACCCAACATGGACAAGTTCAACAGAATGGCTATATACGGGCTACCCATGCATGCATCAGCATTGTCAGGGCATAAATTTTAATAAATTTCAATTATATAAACATATGGTCAGGAAGGACTTGCAAGAAACTCATTTACAGTTTTACAAATTAATGACAAGAGGGTCTAGTAAAGGAATACATTGTAGAGTGTTGTAAGAGGTGGGGGCTGCTGTTTGTCCCACCTGAATCCCGGCCACCCGGCTATCTTAACACTGCCTGCTCATTAGCTCTAGCCTCTTATTGGCTAACTGTTACATCTTGATTATGAGCAATGAAAGCAACACAAAAAATGAAGACCCTCCTACACCAGTAGAAAACTTAGCAACAGTCAGAACAAATAGGCAATTTACTCAGGAGATCTTGTCTTTTTCTACTTCCCATGTGTATTATTTCTATGCATGTCTTAACTCTTAACAATCATTGGAACTCTGTGACATGCCTACATAGTGAATTCCAGGGAAGCAAAGATGACATAGTACAGCTTCTCCAAAACAAACAAACAAATAAACAAACAAATTTCTAGCTCCTTCTGAGTGTCTTTCCCATTAGAACAAAACAAAACAAGCCATGGAAAATTTTATTTGCCCCAGGTTACCACCATTTTCTTTCTTTGTGACTATGTCTGCTATAAGGCATCAGTACCTACTTAAATTGAACTCTGCTCACTCTGATTAATCTCCTGCTATAACAATAATCAGCGAGGAGATAGAAGTACTGCAGTATTGTGGACTTATAGAATGGATTAAAATCTTTACAAAAAGGTGGGCATGTTCCAATGAAGAAAAGGAGTCCTCATTAATGAACTTCATAGTTGCTTTAGGAAATAACAAATTGGCTAGACTGAAGAGAAAAAGACATAGATTTAAAAGAAACACACATTTAAATATTAGAAAAATCCTAGTTATTTTTAAACTATGGTAATTTTCAATTTTAAAAATACTATAATACCAAAGCTACTGTATTAGTCCCTGTTCTCTAGACTCACTTATGAATGAATGAATATCTCTCTGTCTCTGTCTCTCTTTCTCTCACTATCTCCCCCCACACATATACACACATACATACACAATTGGAATTTATTGGAATGACTTAAAGGCTGTAGTCCAACAATGGCTGGCTGTGAATAAAATGTCCAATAATCCATTAGTCGCTGAGTCCCATCGGTCTAGGTGTCCTAGCTGATCTTCTGTATAGGATGGAATCCCTTTTGGAATTCAGAAGAAATAAACTTCAATGCCAGTGAAGAAAATGGATGCCCTAATAAGGTCAGGGCAAGCTGTTGAAGAACACACAGAGTCCCTTCCTTTTCCCATTGTCATTCAAGCAGAAGGTGTGGTCATTCAGCCACAAGATCTAGATTAAAGGCGTGTATCCCTAACTTCAAGATCCAAATCAGAGATCTGTTGTCTTCTTGCTTCAAGATTCAGAGCACAAATAAGCCCTCTATTTCTGAATTATTGTTCTTTCCAGATATAGTCAATTTGACAACCATGAATAGTAATCACAGCTACCAATATGATTTTTAAGTTTAAAGATTAAAATGATCAAGTTTATGTGCTAAAATATCTTCATTTGGAGTTAGATCAAACAAGCATAAAAGATGAATGTTATTAGTTAACTAAAATTGATAATTTTGATTCCATTCCATCTTCAAATGGAATTTCTCTACTTCTCATTTGCCTAAACTGCTATCTAGGAAGCAGTCTTCCTAACATCTGTAAGGCAGTGTCATTTTAAAACCTGCCCTAAATTCAAATGCCATAAAAATACATAAACAGGATCATTTCAATCTTCAAATTACTTTTAATGAACTTGACAGCTTTAACAAATGTGCCTGCTAAAATAGTCTCTTTCAAGTTCTAAAACATATTTTTCAGCAAGAAAACCTATTGAACAAAAAATTAGTGTGGGTAAATGCTCAAGGTCATTAATTTATCTCACTGCGTATCTCAACAACTTAAGATGCTGTAATATGATTGCATTGAAGATCCAGCAGGCATAGCATTTATCCTGAAGCATGGGATTCACAGTTCTTAAGGTACTTGAAACTTTCACAAAGTTTTATGTATTTTTGAAAATTACTCTTTACAGCATTTTAGGCTGTCTCTAAATGATATATTACCCAATTTAATAAAAAAAATCCTGGGTTAAGATGTGAATAAGGCTCCCAATAACCACCTGGAAGAAGTTAATACTTATTGTTTTTCTGCTATGGCAATGTTTATTCAATAGCTATAGACACACAGTCCTTGATAATAGAGCTGTAAACTGTGCATGGGTTCAACGTTATGATGTTCTTGTGCCATAACGATGCAGTTACTGTCACTGCTAAATACCTAACCTATGAAAGACAGAAACAACGATGGAGTTTGCATTCATATATTGTAGAGTGTCAGCAAGCCTCTGCCGACAAACTGATTGTACATTCCGTTATCATAATGTTGGTAATGATTTGTTCTTACAGATGAGCACATGTTCCTTAATGCCCACAATATTTTCTCACAGCACCACAATCCATAGACTTAAAAAAAACTACTATGCCCATTGTCACAATATTCCAATAAGACACTACCACAGGAAACTTGTGGTATGATCAAATTGCTGCAATTGACTCTCAACTACAAATTTCCTGATAAAACTATGTTTTACCAATGAAAAGATATGTTTGTGGAAACTATTGGATGTCTTAATATAGTGAATTTATGAGGACATCTCAAAGAAAACTATCATTTGTGGCCAAGAAGCCATCTTGAAGACAACACTTACACCTTTTTAACACAGTAAAACATGTTTGGTAATATTTCTTTTGTGACTAAAGCACATGGTTTGAACAAGTTGACGGTAACTCTCACTTAAGATCAAATTACCTGCTAAACGGCTTGTTTTCCCTCTGTCCTTATAATATTGTACTCAATAAATTAATTCTATTCCCAAAGGAGAAATGTTTCCACCAGGAAACATGGTCATGGTTGCATTAAATTGGATGTCCGGATTGCTCTTGGACATTTTGGTACCATCATGCTGCTAAATCAGCAGGAAGTAAAAAGGGGTTCCTGCAGAAGCTAAAGTAATTGATCAATCACCTTCAGAGCTCATTGATTCAATCCTAGCAGCTGGTCAAATTGCCTTTCAGCAGTGAGGATTCTACTAGTTCTGTCATTTATTCAGTGCTCTCCTTTTAACAGATAGACTGCCATTTTGAGTCAATATGGACCATACATGTTTTACTGCTTTGAACAGATGTTAAGGAGTTGATTTTTGCCTCGTAGAGAGAAGATTAGCCAAAATTAGAAGTGGGGATGTTCCGTTTGAGGATGATGTGGCATTAGTTAACTAATGCCAGTATAATCTCTTTAGTTCCTGCATCCAGATCCAAGAAAATATACCATGCTGATATACAAAAGGGATCTTTATAATTCTTAAAACTAAACGTCATTATAAATCTTGAAAATTCAGAAACATATGAAGGAGATAATTTCTGGAAAAATGGCATTATACTTTCTATCACTGAAACTAAATGCCTGATATAATCAAGTACCATCAGTAAGATAGAATTTTGCTTACTCACAGGTTCAGGAAGTTTCCTTCACAGTTGTTTGGTGCCACTTGCTTTATGTTTGGTGTAGCATGCCACGTAGCAGTGTCTTCCACTCATTGATGACAATAAGCAGACAGAAGAAAGAGCTCAGGAATGATTAGAACAGTCAAAAATGTGTTACTCCTTCCTCCCACCAATAACAGCCTTTATGTTTAGTGATCACATCTTACAAAAATAATGCTATCATATGGAATGTTTCATACTGATACCTGAGCAACTTAGTTGTATAAACATGATGGCAATATTATTTAACATTTTAAAAGAGAGCTATTTTTCAATTTTAGCCTTTATAAACACTAAAACATGCCTGGATACTCAAAGTTTCTTTTTTTTTAAAAAAAAAAAAAACCCTATCTTTTCTCATTTTGCATACCAATCCCAGTTCCTACTACCTCTTCTCCTCTGGATCACCCCACCTTACCCCCACATCCCATCCCCCATCGACTCTTCCAAGAGGGGAAGGCTTTGGGGAGTCAACAAATTCTAGCACATTGCTTTGAGGCAGGACCAATGTGCTTCCCACTATATCTAGGCTGATCAAAGTATTCCTCCAAAGAGAATGGGTTTCAAAAAGACAGTACAAGTGGCAGGGATAAATTCTGGTTTCATTGCAAGTGGCCCTACAATCTGCTTCAGCCATATTACTGTTACCCACATTCAGAGGGCCTAGTTCGATCCTATGCTGGTTCTCTCAGTGCCAGGCCATAGTTGGTGTGCTCCCATTAGCTCACAAAAGCTGTTTCAGTGGGTATCGCCATCATAGTCTTGACCTCTTTGCTCATATTCTCACTCTGCTCACTCTTTTACTGGACTTTGGAAGCTCAGCACATTGCTCCATTGTGGATCACTGTCTCTATTTCCATCACTTGCTGGATGAAGGTTCTATTATGACATTTAAGATAGTCATCAATCTGACTATTGGACATAGCCTGGTCAGGCATTCTCTTCACTATTGCTTAGGGTCTTAGCTATGATCATCCTTGTGACTTCCTGGGAATTTCTCTAGTGCCAGGTTTCTTACTAGTCCTAGAGTGGCTTCCTCAACCAAGATATCTCTTTTCTTGCTCTCCGTCTTTGTCCTTTCCCATCTCGACTCTCCCATTTCCTCAAGTTCTCTTTCCTCCTCCCTTTCTCCCTTTCTCTTCCCCTTCCATCCTTCCTTCTCCCCCACTCCCATGCTCCCAATTTTTTCAGGAGATCTTGTCAGGGAAAGATCAGGGAGATCTTTCCCCTTCCCAGTGAAATTCTCTTTATTACTTGGCTTCTCGGCGGACTTGAATCATAGGCACGTTATCCTTTTCTTTACAGATAGTATCCACGTATGAGTGAGTCCAGACCATGCTCATCTTTCTGGGTTACCTCACTCGAGATGGTTTTATCTAGTTCCATAATTTGCATGAAAATATCAAGATGTCATTGATTTTATTGCTGAGTAGTACTCTATTGTGTAAATGTACCACATTTTCTTTATCTGTTCTTCTGTTTGGGAGCATCTGGGCATCTAGGTTGTTTCTAGGTTTCAGCTATTACAAATAATGCTGCTATGAATGTAGTTGAACTAATGTCCTTGTACTATGATTGAGAATCCTTTGGGTTTATGCCCAAGAGTGGTATTGCTGAGTACTGAGTTAGGTTAATTTCTAATTTTCTGAGAAATCGTGATATTGATTTTCAAAGTCATTGTACAAGTTTGCATTATCACCAACAAAGGAGGAGTGTTCCTCTTTCTCTGCATCTTCTCCAGCATAAGCTATTGTTGGTGTTTTTTGATATTAGCCATTCTAACTGGTGTAAGATGCTATCTCGGAATCGTTTTGATTTGCATTTTTCTGATTGCTAAGAATGTTGAACATTTCCTTAAGTGAGACTCAAAATTTCTAATGACTATGAAATCACAAGAATAATATTACTTTTAAGACACTATTCATATATTTTACTACTTTTACAGTTTGTTTTTAAATTCTTCCATTTGTTAGTCTTCTTAAATTTTACAACTATTCATATATTTCCAAAATTTCAAGTACGCTGCAAACTGTTCTGTTATAACACGTCATATTAACAAGCAATCTCTATAGAATATGGTGCTGATTTTTTAAAATTTTCAATCTGTAGGCCAATTTTTGTAATACTTTTTAATATTGTATATTTAAAAATTCATGAAATTTATTTTAATTGCAATTACTTATCAAGACCTGTAGGTATAAAAATATCTTCCACAAAAAAGATAAAAAATGCTGTCATGGTAAACAATGAATAAATTATATAGTTCCAAGCTTTTTACCTCCTTCTATATTCTTCGTTGGAATTGTTTCTCACATGTGTGATATTATATTTAATGAATATTATTTATTTCAGTTTGCTAATTCAAATAATATAAACTTTAATAATATCTTTGTACAGAATAATTGAAGGATGTTATATGCAGTACTCTATAATTTAGAACAAGTTAGGAATAATGCAGTTAAGACTTATAGAACAATGTAAAATACTTTAAACATCACCAATATACATGATATTATTAGAATCATCAAGAATCACAGATTCCTTACAATATTCCGCTCTTCTCCAGGATTACTACTATTCATCACAGATAAGTAAAAAAAATTTTAAAAAATTATTTATAATATTTATAAATAAATTGTTCTTTCATCAAGCCTTTACATTATATAAAATACTATATAGTATTATTTGACACTTTCAATTTTGTTCTTCCCCATAATCATTATTTTTTCCTATTCATTATTATAATTTTGAGACTTAAATATGAATATAAATAGCAATACAAATATTGATTTTCAAAAAATGCGAACAATTACAAGCTTATTTTGTTTTAGTGCTATATTCCAAGCTTCAGGTATGATCTTTTTTGTTTCGAAGCATTATGAAAAAAGATGTTGCTTTTTCCAGAAATTGAAATACTTGAAATTCTGAAAATCATATCCTGTCTTCTAGGTGCTTTGTGAAACAGTTCTTCTTGTATTGTGTACTCTCAATATAGAAGTACACTTTTGGAAGACAATTCCACATTATTGAGCCAGGATTTCAGTACAAGAAAACTACTCGATGAAAACATGTCCTTAACTTCAGTTGTCTAGCCATGTTTCCACCCCTTCCTTACTAGATCTCCCTGTTCCAGTTCCCCTATCCACAAGAAACTATCCTAATTTTCGTTTTGTAGGGAGATCTGTCATTTACTCTAAACACAACGTCTGTCGTTCTACAGACTATAGTATAGCTAACATTGATTAATAATTAATGTATGAATATAAGTGAATACAACCAGTGTCATTCTGGTTCTGGGTTATCTCTCTCGGAATGAATTGTTCTAGTTCAATATATTTATCTAGGAATTTTACAATTTTATTTTTTAACAGCTGAATCACACTCCATTCAATAAATGTAACACATTATCTTTAAGGACAATCTAGGTTGTTTCCAAATTTTAAAATGTATTAAACCTTATTTTTGTTTTATGTGAATGGGTATTATGTCTACATGTGTTACTCTATACAACGTGTGTGTTGGAACCTCTGAGACTGGAGTTAAGACAGTAGTGAGCTGTCATTTAGGTGCTGGGCACTGAACCCACATCCTCTGAAAGAGCAACGAGTCCTCTTAACCCCTGAGCTATCTTCTAAGCTCAAAGTGAATCTTTGTGTGATTGCTTTTGTCATCTTTATCCCAAACATCCATGTCTTCATAAACAGCATATCCTCAAAATGGTTCACATCAAAACTAGTATATAAAAGATGTAATTAAAGATCTGCTATGCATTGCATCCAATAAACTATAACATACCATCTTTTGAGATTCCTTCCCATACTCAATGAAATAGTCTCCATTTACAGGTTTCAATTATCGGCATTGAGATGTCAGATATTATTGACGGACTCCAGGATTCTCCCTTAGGGTCTTTTGTCTAAGCTGTGTGGTGGATATTTCTCATGGCAAAAAATAAATATTTTGTTATTGTATTTCAAATATTAACCCCAGTCTTAAAAGTAGATTTGGTGATAATGCTTGGACTTTTTTTTTCATTTTTAGTCTCTGTCTAAACCTCTTCCACTCTCTAGTCTTTTTTTCTCTCACTCTTTTAACCTGACCTCCCTCTCTCATATTCCAGAATAGTTTCTATCAGTGATCTGCTATTCGATTCATCTTCTAGTTCCTAGCCAACCTCCTTATCATTCATAACAGGCCTTGTCACAGGTCACCTGATAGCTCTCCTTTAAAGTCTACTAATGGCCAAATGCACACTTATATGGGTTATGTATAATCATTACAACACACTCACATGCAAATAGTTAAACTTTGGGGGGTGTACAGTGGCTTGGTTTGTTAGAAATTTATCTCTTTCTATATTCTAGATTGGCCTCCCGTGTGCTGTCTGGTTTAGTGTGGCCTTAAACTAGCAATGAGCTTGCTTAGACTCCTAACTGATAGAATTATACACAACCATCAAGACTGTTTAAGTTATTTATAACTCAATGAAGTAATAAGACTAGAAACTAGACATTTATTGAACTACAGATAATTTGTTCCTTAAAATTTAAGAAGAATTGGAAAATAAATTATTAATAACAAAGGAATTAAATTTTAAATAGTTGTTCAGAATTAAGATGCAAAATACCAAGAACCCTAAGGATGGTTCACATCTTCAAACCTGCATAATAGAAAGGCAAATAAAATATTAGCATAGGTAATGCAAGTCATTTTAGGCAGATTTTCGTAGTGAAAAGCTTTTCAGAGGTTATTCCTAATAGACCCTGATTATTTAAGCAAGAATTGAAATATTCCATGCTAAATAGATAATAAGCTGAGGAGTAAGGTGCTCCTGACTGAAACCTTGCCCTTAAGAGGAATGTAATACTGAATTGAGAACAGAAGTAGCACTTATACCTTAATATTTTCATAAATGACAACTAAAGATTAATGTACTTAAAATAGAGATAATGTAACATGAGGGGCCTGTTTGTAGGGGGTTTTTCTGTCCTGCCCAGCCCCCCAGCTATTTAGTCCCAGAGAAAAATCACACAAAGGACTCTGTAAGTTATAATGCTGATTGGCCCATTAGGTCAGGCTTCCCACTGGCTAACTCTCATATCTTGATTAAGCCATTTTTCTGATCTATGTTAGCCATGTGGCTCAGTACCTTTTTCAGTGGGTCAGCTCACATCCTGCCACTTTGGTGATCTGGGCAGGAGTGGGAGGAATCAACTTCCTCCTCCCCAGAATTCTCCTGCTCTCCTTGCATCATTTCCACTTCCTATCTGGTTCTCCCACCTACACCTTCTGCCTGGCCAATCAGCGTTTATTTAAAACATGATTGACAGAATACAGACAATTCTCCTGCACCAAGATAAGGAAAATTTTAAAACATGAGAACAATATGATTTCAATATTCTATATTTATTTATTATTAATTTATTATTAATATAAAGTAATAACGTATTATTAATTTATTATTAATAAAAACAGAAAGGAATTTTTAAATGAGACATATGGAACCAGTATAAATCAACATACTAAAATTATTTGAGTCTCTCTATGTCTGTGTGTGTGGTTTCTTCTTTGTTTCTTTATTGCTAATTAAGGATCAATAAAAGGAAAACTATTTTTGCTATATCAGTTATTTCTGTAAGTTATATTATATAACCAGTAGTAAAAATATGTTTATATGTGTCATATATTAT